ATGACTAAATTACCAAGAGATTTTATTTTCGTAAAATTGAATGAATTAAATAGGTTTATAAACCTATTTTACAACAGGTTTATAAAACTATTTAATGATATGATTTAATAAATAACTTTATTAAAAAATATCTTTGGGAAACAGTCACCAACACCACCATTCGAAGTCCATCTTCGCCACCACTTCCTTATTCATCGCTGAAATTGTCTAAAGAGTCTGTCTACTTCTTCCTGCTCCTCCAGTGAGATGTTGATTGTCCTTCCACGTCTTGATGCTCTTGATGGGAAGATCTTCTTGAGAATTTGTCCAATTTTGATGTAACAGGACGCGTTTTCAGAAATATAAGAGGTTCCAAGTTTTAATTTTGAGGTGTTTTGTTTCCAGAAAGTCACCTTTACTTCTTGGTCAGCAAGGTCCACTTCATCGATGATGGCCACGTACCACTGGTTTTCGTAGACACATGCAATCCAATCGCTGACGGCACATTCATCGATGATGACCAGAGGTTGAGCAACTTCGGATTCCATTATTTTAGTTGCCATCACCGTGGTGTCCCGAGAAACTTCATAAAGGTGAATTTTTCCCGATCCAATTTCAACACGGTGAGCTTGTTGAGTTCCAGGAATGGTTGTGATGGTCTCGTACCGGGTTGTCAAATCTTTTTCTTCAATAATCTTCTGAACTTCGGAATCCGAGACGAATATATATTCAATTCCCTCAATATTTGAACTGCACCAGAGGAAGAATTCTTCTGCGGTTGTAATTTTGATACCTTGAAGAGATGCAATTCTTGCTCGACGTTTGGCAATTCCTCCTTGAGCATCTTGAGGTCCCTTCATATGAGCAGTTGCTCCATAGTGCCATACGGCTATAATTCCAAAGTCGTTCTGATGGTGGTATAAGTTGCAGAAATTCTTGCGATTCTTGTATTGAGCTGCAGATCCATCTGAAACGTAGTGAATTTTGGTAATTCTGATTTGGGCAGCAGCAAACTCTCGAACAAGTCTTGGTATGAGCTTAGTCTGGAATGCGTAGAAGGAATTTGTGTCATGAGTGGTGCAATCACTGATAATAGATATGCTCATGTTGTATACAACTTCGTTCACGGCCCAGTAGATTGTGAAGGGGTGAATAGTGATCTGTTTGTGGGAGAAGTATTCGGACTGGACAGCATTCTGGATTACAGGTGAGTAGTTTTCGGAAAAGTCTCCCCAAATGAAGAGCTCACCAGGCTTGAGATTCTTTCGAAGATCCACAAGAAATTCATGCTGAGCTTTGCTGATGTAGTGATGTTTCAACAGCTTCTCCAGTTCCGAAGTTGCAAAGTCCAAGAAGTCTTCGGTTTCTTTTTCCTCAGTCACGTATTGAGTTCCGTCTGTCGTCAGCCATCTTCGGTATGAAATTGACGTGTTGTTCCTGATGACTTCGTTTTCTCTTAAAGCTATTTTGAAGTTTGTTGTAGATCCTTTACACTTTGTACATCGTCTGTAGTAGCAATCCTTGCCTCCACTTTCACAGACTAATTGTGAAATTGAAGGCTTGATGGATGAAATCTTGATGGCATGGAACAGCAGCTTCACATTTTCATGGTAAATGCACACGCAAACGTTGTGGTATCCCTTGCTGGTTAGCGAGATGCATTCTCATGGCCGCAGCATCATGAATGACGATTTCCCAACTTTCGAATCCGGGTACTGAATCTTGAAATTTTGGTAGAGCTCCCTGAGATTGCTTAGAAGATATCGTTTCTGCTTGTGTTCTCGTCTTCCTGTTTCCTTGTTCTTGATGGACAGAAAATCCTTTTGTCCTGGGCAGGCTCTTGACACATCATCTTGATAATAGAAATCTTGAATATTGGATTTGGTTTCTTGGGTAATTTTGTATCCAGATTTTGGTTTTATTGGAGGAAGGATTGTGTCGGTTTCTTTACGACGTTTGCGGCTTCCCTGGACCAAGCGTTTCCCAATATTGAAGAAATCTTGAGTCTTCTTAATACTCCAAGACGGTGGAACTAAGGTAAGCAGTTGTTTTTTTTCGGCTTGAGAACATCCTTGCAATCTTAGCTTCAAGTGCTTCATGATCCAGTTGAGATCTGTAGAATCCTGGAGAAGTTGTTCTTGATTGTGTTGTTCTTTGTCTGGAATTGGTAGTCCGACATCTTGGAATCCTGTGGTGATTGTCTTCGTTACTTGCTCAAGTTCTCTTGTGACTAGATTACTTTGTTGCTTGAGATTTCTTCTGTTCAATGCTATTGCAGGGGCCGAAGGGGAAATTGTTTGCTTGATACTTGTTAACGTCTCGACCAATCTCTTCTTTGAGGCTGGTTCTTCAAAGGTAGGATCTTCCGAATCTTGATCTTGAATTTCTTGGGTATCATCATAGCAGAATTTTGCGTCCTTGCATATCGCTTGATTTGGTAATAATCCCAGGGCTTTGTATTGGGTAAAGTAATCTTCCGCAGTGATGTATTTCACATTTTTGCCTTTGTATTTATTGTTATGCCTTGGATGACAACATGTGCGAACACGGCGCCGTCCAAAAAACTCAATGCATTTTGCACAGAAAAAATTATCACTGAAAATAAGTTTGAAATTGAAACCTGGAAATGACTGCCTGACAGACTGCATAGTTCTGCTTTGCACAATCTTGTCTAGAGGTCGAGATTCGTCTTCAGAACAAGTCCATCGGTGGTGGGCAATCAAGAGTCCAATGTCGCAGCGACGTACTATAAAGAAAACGATTACCACTACTTGAATTTTTGACATACTTTGAAACGTTTTTACTAATTGGAATCTTCCAATAGAATTTTATTAGCATGTTCTAATTTTAAAAATTAACCTCTCTGAATATTCAAAACTTTTGTAAAAATTTCCAACTGTTAATAATAACCCAATCTGTTTTTTGAAAATTTTAAAAATCTTCCCTAATTTAAATAATTATCTTGCAAAATTTAAATAATTACCCTATGTCTGATTTTATGAAAATTTAAAAAATCCTGCCCAAGTTAAATAATTATCCCATCGCTGATTTTTTGAAAATTTTAAAAATCTTCCCCAATTTAAATAATTATCCCATCTCTGATTTTTTTTAATTTCAGGAATCTTGTCCAATTTAAATAATTATCCTATCTCTATTTGTTTAAAAATTTTAAAAATATTGCAAAATTTAAATAATTAAGCTATCTCGGCTTTTTAGAAAATTTTTAAAATATACCCCAACTTAAACTACCCCATCTCTGAGTTTTTGACAATTTTAAAAATATAACATAATATAACAATTTTAATATTTATCCCATCTCTGATTTTTAAAGCATACCATTTTCAATAATCCGTTGCAAACAACGATCGAAATGTAGCAAAAAGGTAAAGCGACACGGTCACACGGTCGTGACAAGTCAAAACAAAGTCGATTTTTGAAATCCACGACCAATCTAAAACGGTCAAGACAAAAAATTCGACACGTTTGACCGTTGCTCTCAGAGATTCAACCTTAAAAGGTACCTACCTTGGCTTATTTCGGTGGGTGTGGTAGTATCCGGTGGTGGTGGTGGAAGTGATGTCGAAATTGGGGGTGGCGGTGGTGGCAGGGGTGATATTGGGGGTGGTGGTGAAGGTGGCTGCTCTCTTGGGAGGGAGGAGTGAGCCTCCATGATTCACTTTTTTAATATTTTATAAAAAAAACTCCCACTTTTTTAGTTTTATTTTAAAAAACTGGAGAATTCCAAAGATGAACCAACTCGTGTGAGAGATAAAAAGCATCTCAACACGAGTTGGTTCATAATCCCGGTAAACAATTTGCAGAGAGTGAGAAGTGAGACAGACCACCATACGGCACTGTCGCATCGACAGTCGCCGGTGGTGGTGATACCCACCAGAGTCCAACTCTCACTCTGCTTTTTGCTAAAAATGGAAACAGGGTTTGTGGAACAGTTGGTATGGCTCTCCTCAACAATGCTATTTTAAATATATGTAAAAATATAAAGCATTTGATATTTTTGGTAAACATATTATCAAATGTGTGTACATAGGTATGTGTACGTATGCCACAACTTCGGAAGGATTATATTAAATTAATATTTTGTCAGTTTCATGTCTCATGACCCTGAGAAGAACAGTCATATTAAAAATTACAAAAATATGGTTAGATAAGTATGATCATATATTTCCCATATCATAAAGATTTGATATTTAAATAGTTGCAAATTGAGCGTATCATGTTAAATAAAAACTAAATGTGGGATGCATTTAAATTTTACTCGAAAGAAAATGATACATATGCCCAAAATTTTTAGACTTACCAAAAACAAAACGATGTATAAATTCTGCAGCCTTTGGTATAAAATTTTTACCTTAAACATAATTAATTGCAGTAGCTTTTTGAAGGTACGTTATGTTATTGCACCTTCTATCAAGCTTGATAACAAAACACTTAGGATTAGCAAAATGGTATTCAATCATTACTGACCAGAGTACATATATGACTTCACCTGCACTGTAAGGCATTAACAGGTAAATAAGTGGACGCCCTGGGAAAATGAAGTGGTCACGAGTCCTTTTCCGATTCGAGAAAAACACTTTTTTGACCGAGTGGCAAACTAATTTTTCCACCTCCTCTAAATTTTGTGCTGTCATTTTTTAACCTGAAAGAGATAATCAAATTCTGTTTTCAATTTTAGAAACCTTATCAAATTTGCCAATGTTTATGCTTTTTTATGTATCCAAAATTAATTTTTAACTCGTTGAAAAAATAAGGAGAACCTTAACACTTTTAATATGAGGACAATTCATAATTTTCTGTAATGAATATACTTATATTTAAAAAAATTGCCAATAAATTTCCTGACCAAATTTTGGCATGATATTTACCCATGATCATAATTACTTAATATATCTAAAACAAACGGATGTTTATCTATGAATATGAATTTTACGCAAATGGTTAAAACGATGAAAGTAAACTCCAAGGAGCGATGTTTTGAGAAACTACGAGAAATTTTGGCGTTTAAACTTATTTATTAAGTGAGATCTGGAGGCGAGTCATTTCCATAAGGGAAGTCATTTCGAAAACTTATCAGCATAATGTGTACAAAAGTTACTAGGCTACATAACGTAAGGTATATATATATATATGGTTAATCTAATCTTATAGACTATAAGTTATAGTCAATGGTCAAATCCGTCATTATTATTAAGGTTACAAATTTTTAATTTCACGAAGGGTCTGCAGGGGTTGGGCTGGGCCTACAAAGAAAAGTAAAGATGATGCACATAACTCTCACAAATTACACTCACGCTAATAATGTAACCACAAAATTATATTATGATAGCTAAAAATAATACAAACTTACACTTGGTTAAGTATGGCACGAACATTCTTGAAAAAAGTCGTTGCCTTTTTTTCCGTTGGAAATTCAATGTCCCACGAATCGGAACCAACAAGGATGTAAAGTTTCTTCCCGTTTAATTGGATCAAGGGGGCGTTGGGAGTATCGAGTTTGAGGTGGCTTATCGGAATTGGCTGAAAAATAAAACAAAAATCAACTCAACCTGCTTTATATTGAATTTTGAAACTATGTATTAAAAAACACTCACTCTTAACAACAAACTTTCAAAAGTAATTTGCGAAAGTGCAATGGATATTTTCGTAGTGCCGATTGCATCCCAACCTTCAAATTTGCAAATAAATTTGACCGTCATTGCGCCTGTTTTATAATAACGCGACTTCTTCCGGGAATGACGACTAGCATGGCGTTTTCGAGCCTTCTGATTCATGGAACTACGACTAGTGAGCCGTCGGAGAAGACGATTCTGTGCTCGTTGTTTCTTCTTTCGAAGATTAGCGAGAAAACCTTTGACCGTAAATTCTGGCACCTTGAAGACATGTTCGTCAGCCTGTAAGGAATTGAGGTTAATTAATTGTTTGTCTTTATTAATGCATTTTAAAGATTCATGGTGGTCACATACTTTTCAAAAAAGGTGGAGTTATATTGATATATTTTGAATTGATCAATATCTATTGAAAGCAATTAAAACCTAAAATTAATGGGGGTATTCATTTCAAGCTCGCATAGTTAGCAACGTTTATAAAAAATTTCAGGTTCGCAAAAAAGTTTGAAAATTTGAGGACTTGCACGCAATAGTTAGTTCGAATTTGTTTTCAAAATTATGATGCAATTTGAACATGTGACATGCGAACTCGTAATGAATACCCTCATTTAACAATTACCGTAAGCAATTCAAACTGAAACAATTAAAACAATGGATAACCTTACCTCCTGATTAGTAGCCATTTCTTTGCAGACTTTTGATCACCATAATTCGCAACTTAAGACTAAAATTTAAAGACAACTTTACATTTATTACGTCAGCCGAAAAATAACGTTCGAATGTGTCCCCGCCGCGCAGGGTAAATAAATATATAAATATATTGAGACTGACGAAATTTTGATGGAATTTGCACTAATTTTATTTATTTACGCGTGAAAAACAATTAAGATTCACTTCCTTGGGACCATGGTCAACTTGAAAGGCTCATAATTATTTAAAAATAAACGTCCCGGTTTCATCTTCAATTTAGCTCCTTCGGTATCCTCGAATCTGAAATGTTTCAAAACGGAGGCCATCGTCATTTGAATTTCCTCCTTGGCAAACCTCATCCCGATGCAGTTGTGTGGACCTTGGCCGAAAGAAAGGAACGCGTATGGGTTCAAAGCATCCTTGTTTTCGGGTAAAAATCGCTCCGGTTTCCATTCGTACGGTTCGGGATAGTTTTTCTCGTCGAAATGCACAGCAAAGACGGGAACTGAAATGTTAATTAATTTTTTAGGACAGTTAGGGATAAAATTGCGGGATTCTTGATGCCAAATGTTAACCTCCTCGTTTCTAACGTGGCAGGATATAAAATCTGAGTGGTCAAAAATTTTGCAAGAATTTTGCATTAAAAATAATGCCCAAGCCGAATTTTTCTAGACAACAACAGTTAAAAAAGTGCTAATGCTTCATGGAAGTCCTGAGTGTCACATTGTTTCCCACATTATAAAAAAATTTGTGCAAAAAATTCGCAAAAAGTTTGCAATAAAAATTCCCCCACGAGATTCACTTAATTATTCATCACCTTGAATTGTCGTCCCCTTCTTCACCTTCAACCCCGTTCCTTTATGAGTCCAATCACTCTGGCAGTCACGTTCCAGTCGTATTAATGCCGGGTTCATTCTGAGCGTCTCGTTCATGCAGGCGTTCAAATAGACAAGTTCGCTGACATGGTCATGCTCAATTTTTCCGTCGTGTCGCTCATAAAAATCGTCCACTTCTCGAATAAGCTTGTCCTGCTTGTCTGGTTTTTGTGACAATCTGAACGCCATTAAAGTCAACGTTTCTGCCGTGGTTTGGAAGCCTGCGAATAAAAACGCCATCGCCTGACACATCGCGGTCGTTGGTGTGATGCCCAATCGGCCATAGTCTGGATCCGTTTTGCACTTGTCGATCATGTCATTCATCACGTCGACGAAGTCGTTGGCACGTTGTCCACTTTGTTTTCGCGTGGAGAGGATATTTTTCAAGAGGTCGCCAAAAAAGTTGATGGCATCGAGGGGAAAAACCGGTTCCATTTTGACCAGGAAGGGGAACATTTCTGAACAAAAAAAGTATGTACATGAGTGGAAATTATGAAACATTTGGGGTATTCATGATTCCTTCGTATCTTTTAGTATTCTTCGTATCGTAAAATAAGTTACGACGGTATTGAGATTTTGCAAGCGTCGTAAGATTTTGACATAAAAATTGTGTTATTAAGGTTATAATTTTTGCGAGGCTTGGACTCTTGTTTTTTCTTCGTAAACTATTTTGCGATACTAAGGCTATGAAGGAATAATGAATCATTTTGTGATTTCCGTTTTATTCATATTGTGCACTTACGGACTAAACTAAACATCCAGCTGGGTTCTTCATCATCAAGCGTTAATTTCCTCACGTAGCGGAAGAAAGGGTCGTTTGTATCATCTAAAACGTTGATCCTTGTCCCGAAAGCGCAACGCGCTATGACATCGAGCGTCAATGAGGTGAAATCTCTGAACAAAAAAATATGATTTAATACATGAGGAAATATCGTAAATTTGATTTCGATACATTTTGGGGTTAACTATACAGCGCTGGCCGTCAGCCTTTTTAATCAGCTTGTCCATCCAGTCGTGAATCGTGTCGAGCATTTGATAACTCATCGTCTTAATCTTTCCGGTTGTGAGTTGAGGGGAAAAATATGTTCGAACCACTTTCCATTTCTCGTCTGAAATGAAATTGCATAGAATTAAAAATTTTCAGGTCTTAAAGATAATGAAATATGCATATATAGATAATTTTGCATACATGGAAGAATGTCCATCATATCATTGATTAATTCATGCCCCTCGTCATACATTCGTTTATTTTGGAAATGGTCAAAGTCCTTAATAAAAATCAATCGAATAAGGTCCGGGTCGGTTATGTAAATATGTGGAGCCCTACCAAACAAATGGTAAGGTAAAACAAATTGGTAAAACAAATAAATAAAATTATTTATGTTTGGTGTTTAACAATGAGGGTGTTCATTACGAGTGCACATCATTAGCAAAAAAACAAAGTTCGCACAAAAATGGATTGAAAATTCATTTGCGAACTTATTTACGCATCTCTAAGGCTAGTATTTAGTTGGTATTTTTTTCAAAATTATGTTTCAAACATTTGAATTAGTAATGAATACACTCAATACTGATAAAATTTCCACTATAAACCATTACCTTCCTTCGTACATCTGCAAGTAATAAGCATGTAAAAGTAAACGAGTGACTACTTTTGAGATGATAAACAATTTCCGACAAATACATAAATAGCTCACCCCAAAAATAGGACCGTACATCTTGACACGTTTTATATCCTCTTCACAACAAATCCCCTTGTAAAAGAAGGGATCACTTCCCCCAACGAAATATGGCTTTATCAAGGCTGGAAGGCCCTCCGTGGTCTCTAAAACTCCATAGTGCCATCGAGTATAAATAACCCCTGATGCTACCACCCCCACGAGAAGGGTAATAAATATGTAGCCTGCCCAGGTTAAAAGTTCCAAAATCATGATGATGCTTGCGATATGCAGAATAAAATGTCAACTGAACTGAACATGAGCTTGATTCGAATTTATATACCAGTATTTTGCATCATGATTTGAAACGCCAATCTGCCAGTCGACCCCTGTGGCCGTGTGCCAAAGAAAGTCTGCCAGTTGACCCGTTCAGACTATTGCTGCGTGGAGATACATACATATGTACATAAATATGTACATATGTATGTATGAGCCAGGCTAAAGTTATCTCAATTCGGTGTGACTTTGTAAATCGCGAGTTTGTTTTTTGCATACATATTTATGAACATGTGCTCCTATATCAATATCTGAGGACGAGTCCAAAACCCATACTGGTTGGTTTTAGATCTGTATGATATTGCATTTTGAGTTAACGATGTTATTGCACATTTTTTCTGCATATGCATACATACGTACAATTTGTGCAAGGTCACAGTCACATGGTACATGTGTCAAATGTGATTATATACATATGTATGTACATATGCAAGTAAATTGGATTGTGTCACACAATTTGAGTGCCGTAAGATAAACTTACTGAAAAAGTTGTTGCTTATGAAAAGTGAATACAATGTGAATTACAATTTGTCATTTTTTCTATTTACTGTGTGAACGAGTGTAGAGTGAGTAATATTTGTAAAAGTTGCCCATTTTAATATACTTACTTTAATATATATTGACGAATATGTTTGACATGCGTTATCATTTTCCATGCCTATCCCAGATATATGTATTTACTTTTACTCATGCTTACATAGATCAACCCTTGTATAAACGGAATACAAAAAATGTGGCGAAACCAAATGCGACATTTGTATGTACATACAAAAGTAACTTCACCAATACCGCATAGCTTTAAAATCACAAAAATTACCACGTCATGCATGAAATAATCGGTAAATTTCTTCAATTTCCTTAATTAAATAGTGTACCAAAATCTGCTTCTTTTCTTTACTACCATGTTTCTTATGTCCTAGGTATTTTCTCCATTATCTTTACATTCATTTACAAGTATACGAACTAGTCGCACATTACATCTTGTATAGCGTACTTTTCCTGAATAACATTTTACACCTTGTATCACACTAGCAAAGTATTTTGCCCACTTCTGAAAACAAAATATTATTCGCCTCATAATTATTACACTCCAAGTTACTAGATACACTTTAATATCAATTATGTCACAATCACTTAATAAAACTTTGAAGCATTCCGCCCCAAAACAAGTCACACCCACCAGCAACAATCCACAGCAGAAGGCAAACGAATATTTCAACGCTTCATACGATACGGGCTCCCATAACGAAAATTTTCTCCCAATATTTCCTCCCACGTGTAACACTTTTCTCAAAAAAGTACTCCTGCTCCTCCCTTTCAAAAATTCATAACCTTGTCTCCTCTTTTTCGCCAGGTTTATCAATTTCTTCCACTGTCCGAAAATTCCAGCCTGCTCTAATTGTCCCAAACCCTTGGAGTACAAAGGGTACAAAAAATTGCGTTTCCCAACCCAAGGAACGCGACTGTTGAACGGAGTCACGGCGTGATTTCGTACCACGATGGGGTCTGAAAATGATTGAATTGCTTCCACAAATATTTCAGCCTCGATGACACGGTCCAACACAACTATCGGCCAGTCGACGCTTTCGACCCTTGCATTTGTTGAGGTCACCCCAACCTTCCGACTTATGTTGGACGCGAGCTGGAATTTATTTCCGGAAATGTATTTCGTCCTTTGGCTTAACTTTTGGAGAAATTTCTTTGTTCCATTATTCAGTGTTGCTGCTAAAAGATCTGGTATCATTCCTACCGTCAAGATGGATTCTGGAAACTCATTTTTACGCCAGGCTTCCGACATCGTCACGACGTCCCAATCAGTTTCTTGAAGGAGTTCATCTAATTATGGTGGTACGTAGGGACCCAGTTTGGCCGTCATGCAGGAAAAAAGTTCCCCTTGGTAGAATATTCCAAGCAAAAATATAACCGCGTACCAAACCCCGATAAATATTAATGCTTTCCCGCCACAATTCAAAAATTCAGCAGCGGTCCAATGTCCATCAGTTTGGCCGAGTATCGTCGAAATTGTCCAGAACGTTTTGTCCCATAAATTTCCTCGCAGAGTAGTTTTCATCCGAGAAAAATGCACTGCAGTCAAAGTAACGCCAAAAACGCTGAGCAGCGTTAACAGCCACATTGCCGAGTCGAATGGCATTATCAGCGTTTCAAAACTCATCTCAATTTTTGGCACGATCACCAGAAATATATAAGGTAAATAATCTACGGCATGGGTATACCACACTTTCCTGTTAGGACTTCTCCTCATTACATAATTCTTGTTGAAATTTTTGTCCGCGAGATTTTTAAACGTAGGTGTGCTTACTAGCACTCTGTTAACAGCTCGAATCATCGTAAAATTCGGGAACACATCTTTTCGATCTACATACTTTGAGAAATTATGTTTTGCTGCGATAACCTGGTTGGCGCAGATCTCCCACGGAATAATATTTCGAAAACTGTAGCTAACACAATCATTGGGAACAAATGGTTCGTTTTGGATGATTATACTGAAAGTGACCACACTATTTTGCAAATTCCCATTGTATTTGGCCCAAGCGGATGAAATTTTTCGCAATGTCCGGAATTTCGGCATTGCGACAGCTTTCTTTGTACACGGGATGCAAATAATTTGCAACGGGAAGCCGTCACGGAACATGATAACACTGGAAGTCAACCAAGCGTCTGCCCAGTAAAATTCGATGCCTGCAGTTACTCTGGGGTCGAGATGGATGAAAATATAGGTCGGATTTTCGTTCGATAAACCCATTCCGAAGACAAGTTGGTTTAGGAGATATCTCCAAGCGAGTTGTTCGGGCCCTGGATTGAATAGAGGAACGAGAAATGTAGCGATTCTGGGGTCAAATCGTGGAGCGAATTTTGAAAATGCTGTGTTCAGTGGGACAGATTGATTAAGTAAATTTTTAAAACTGTACCGCGATTGGTTGAATACATTCCAATTTGGAACATTGTCAAGAACCAAGGGACAGAATGGGTTTGCTGAAATGATTCCGTGGAAAATTAAATGGTAAACGTGGTTATGCAGTTCTTGAAAATCTAGAATAAATTGGAGAGTAATATCTTCCAAGAAGTTTGGCTGGTATAATTCTAATGTGGGTGAAGGGGATGAAGATATAGGTACGTAAGCAATTAGCGTTAGTATTGCTAAAATCATAGTAACGTCAAAACCCATAACGAAAGGTGGTACATTAGATAGAGAGAATATCTGTACTACTCAACTTTAAAGGACACACCAGACCAAGATTTTCATATTGGTGCGTGTTACATCCGAATTATTTTGGTCCAAAGTATTTTAATTGTAAAATACAACCTCGTGAAAATTTACTCAAGATTAAAAAAATTAGTTCTGGATGGGGAAAATCAGGATGATCGATTTTCATTTAGCGCCATTATGTTTGACAAAAAACTTTGATTCTAAAAACATGAATAAATTTGCTCAAAGTTGTATTTTACAATGAAAATCGTCCATTTGACCCGAATTGGGGTGTAACACCTACTATGGTCTATGCAAGGGGAATTCTTGAAGGGCAACTTAACACCCAGCAGATACAAATCTTGGACACAAGTTCAAATTGGACTAAACAGGTTATCATAATCAAATCGCCATGGGTCGCCTTATCGATTAAGATAAATACATATACATTCATATGTAAACAACCGAATTGTTCCAAGCCTAGAGTATAAAAGATTATCTACTTCAGAAAATTATTGTACCTAATTTAGTAATTTAGTTAAGTATGTTAAAAAGTCTGAGTGCCGGAAAAACACATCCTACTTTACAAATATGAGTTAGCGTCGCAAGGTGTTTAGATTTATCTGAATGAGGATGTAAAACTTTTATAATTCGTATCCTGCGAATACAATTTACTATCCAAGTAATGATATGAATGAAAAATGATACACGTGTATACAGTAGTCATTATACGGCTTTCATTTAATTTGAACCAATTATGTATAGATTGGTCTTTGGTCTTGGAAAACTAGACCAACACAGCCATAAACTAACCCACGCAGATAGATGGTCACACACGTAACTTAGGATTAGCGATACGTACATACATATATTTGCATTTCACTAGGACTTTGAAAAAATTAAATTTTCGTCAGTGTACTCAGGTTTTATTAGAACCAGAATTGGCAGGTGGGTAAGAAGTCGTGCATTTTCGTTCCTTAAATAACATGATAATTATGATAACGTTTAGTTTAACATACATTTTTAGCTATCCATATCTATGCATTCAATATAATATAGGTATTCCTATGTGTTTATGTATATGCATGATGAATTAGGTGGTAAGGCATCCTCTATTAAAAATTCGAGTGCAAAAAATCCAGCAATAAACACTGTTTAGTAGAACATGTATCTCAAATAAATAATATTTACATACTTGTATATGTACGTACATCTATATGTGCCGTAAGTTTTGTACATAATAATCACTGTTTTGTAATAAAAATAACTTTACAAATAGTACATTCGCAGCATCAATATTGCAAGATTTTCTTTAAACCATAGCGTGAAATGGCCAATATTTTTCTTAAATTTTCTTAATCAAATTGTATTCCAAACTTGCTTAGTATTTTAACTACGCTGTTTCTTGAAAAGTATTTTGCACCTCATATTTTCACACAGAAGGCATGTAATTAACGCGTCTCATAAATGTCTACATGAAAATGTTTCCTAATATTATTTTGCTGGTCTCATATAAATTTGTAACTAACTCTTAAAAAGTCTTATAAAAACAGTTTTTATTTCATATTTTTATCAGACTTTCAGTATTAACAAAGCCTTGATTGATTTTTTGGGGCGACCAGGACCATGTCGACGACCTAGGGGAATATCTTTAGCCTCAGATCTACGTTCAAAAAACTTCTTATGAACTGCTACTATTAGCCCTATTAAATGTTTGCACACATAAGTTTTCAAGAAGACTGGACAAGTAC